ACCTCAAATAACCTAAATTTTCAGCCTCATTGATGACTGCTCCTCTGCAACCATGAGAGTGTTTTAAAATAATATGCATATTCCTTCCCTAAACTGTTGTAATCTCAGAAAAAGCCTGAAGATTACTCTGCTATCTTCCTTTTAAATTGTATTTCTAGCTTTTCCAAATTAATTTAAGTTCCTTTGAACAGATGCAAGTATAACAGAAACTGAGATTCAGAGGCACTTCAAGGTGATAATCTGCAGATATGGTCTTGATTTAAATGGGACAACATCAGCACATATGGAGTAAATTTAATTGTCCTACCTTGATTGAACACAATCAGGTTGCAGACACTTCTGTTATTCTTTTGTATTTGCTTCCCAGGAGGTTAGGAGTGTAGCTTCTGTCACTACAGAGTTCTACTTGAAAGAAGGTAAAAACATTGTTTCCTAAGGAAAAAGCAAAAGCAGGTCTATCATAAACCTGCATGCACTGCTGCAAACATGTGCACAGCACATATAAACTACAACAAATGAAACATTCCATCTTTGTAATAAATTGAAATACATTGTGTACATATGGGTGAAAGACAAAGCCTATAATGTTCCACTAAGACGTGAAAATACAGTACTTGGGAGGAAAAGACTTTGGAGATAGGTCTTTTCACCTCCAATGCTTACCCCAATTTGTTTGTTTACCCAGGTTTCACCTGTTTTCTGTCACAGATCAGTCCCCTTCTTCCTCTTACACATCTTCTCCCTATATGTTGCCCATGGTGTTCTGTTCCTCAGTTACCTGTTTGGTTCTTCTTGCTTTGTCAGTCCATCCAAGCTTTTTTCCTACCCAGTTCCCAGAGGAAACACTCACTCCTTCAAGCTGCATCTTCGTCTTCCTCTGCTCCTGCCTGTATGGCTCTTGCTTTCAAAACAGGCAGGCTCTTTTAGTTTGGTGGTAATAGCAAAAGGTGGAGGGTGGTCACTGGACAGAGGAGTTTCCTTCTCAGCTCAAAGCTGAGTCCCTACATGCCTGGATAAGCAGCTACACCAAAGAACCTGCTAAGATGCCCATGGCGACCCATATAGTTCTTACTGACTATACACTGACTGTAATTGCATTTAGCAGACTTAGACTTGTCCCATTTACGGCTGATTCTCAAGAGTAGGGAAACTGGCACATAACTGATGTAAAAAGCCCCTATGTACAACCTTTCTTCTAAACAGAGAGAAGTTTACAAATACTGAAAGGCAAAGTGACCTGTATTATTAACAACAGCAAAGTTTAATATTTTTAAAATATGTATATATGGTTTATTTCCATATCCTCTACAAAGAAGAAAAGGTTTCTGTATGAATTATCTATTATTACTGCCATTACAAACAGCACACCCTAAAGCATATTTGGCTTAAAATAATTAAAAAATACAGGCAACACACTATATTAATTTAGCATCTACACAATTCATTGCATTCACACAAAAAGAAAAGGCAATCTGTTCTGTACAGAAGGAAGTAACACTCTCTTGCTTCGATCCTAGAAATAACCCAGCTCGCAAACTTTACTGCAAATGTTTGTGTATAGCTCCTGTGGAAACTGTTTAATTGTCTACTATGCACAGGAAAAAGGGGAAATGAGGCATATGTCAACAGATCAGAGAGCACAGCAGAGCAGTGAATAAAGATCACACCACAAGTCAAAATGAAGTAGCAAAATTTATGTTAAGTGGTTTCCACCTGTGTTTAATACAAAATTCAGGATGGTTTGTTACAAATTAGTCATCATTAAACAGAAGAATCTGCAGATCAGCCAAGTTGCAAGTAAGAGACAAAATAGAAACAGCAGTTTCCGATACAAGAAACTTTTCCCTAGTATCACTAAGAGTTACTGCCGTCTCCCCATCCACCCTGCACTTTGGTTGTCCTCTTCACATTCAGTGGATTTGTAGATATGGTGCAAGCACTTGCCTTGGATTTGCTGGAAATAGAACAACATTTTTTATGAGTTAATTGTTACTGACTAGATACTTCAAAATTAGTGTAGGAAAAAAGGTTAGTTACTTTCTTTACTTTATAGCTATCTTGTACTTGCCTAAAATCTAAGCAAGGTCTAAACCAGCAAGTACCATTCTCATGTATCCATGGACATAAATGTAACGTGATACCAGTGGAGATGGCCAAAAAGCACACGCTATTGATAAAGCAAGCCAAAGCCAATGAAGCTGAAGTTCAATTCTAAAAAGACTGTCTTTCTCTAATTGCCATTTGCACACATTCACAAGTCTGCTTTACCAGCACAGGAAGTCATACTGAACCAACAAAAAATAATTTGCAATTAACAATTAAAATGTTTAGTATTTATGTAATATGTACTTTGAATTTATATAATTAGAGGTTTCAGGTACATACCTGATTGAAGAAGTAACTTTAGATTTCAAAAGTGAAACTTATATTATCCTTTTTCTACACTGGGCACACTTTGTTTGCAACATCCTAATTTTTCTTTTCCCCAGGAATTAATTAACAACAAGTCATTTCAAACTACATGTCCTATATAGTTGTCCGCGCCTCCTTTCTTTCATTTCAGCAGTCCTACTGGACTTTTTTTTGCCAATATTTCCCCAACTAATACAGGTGCTTTGAAAGTATTTTAAAAACAAGTCCTTGATTAAGCTTTTTGAAAACTGAAATGCCACAAAGTCAACATACAGGAAGTCCTATTCACATTCTGAAATTCTTACCGGGAGCAACGTCTTTGTCCGTTTCCCATTCTATCGATCTTACAACGGTTCAGACTAGTTAGAGTTCACTTTACAGTGGATATTCTACATTCAAAAATACTAGCTGATCTTACTACTTCTAAAACAGGCACAACTATTCTAAATGCGGCAGCCAATACTGGTGCTGCAAGGTGCGGAAGTTTCTCACTTTTGCTCAAGGCCATATGAGAATTCAGGGTTTGGTTTCTTCTGATGTCACATTTTCGTTAAACTAACAACATAGCATATTAAAATCTTGCCAGAATCAACAAATGAGTGTGAGAACCAAAGCAAACATTTCATTAGCCTCTACACATGGAAAATCTACATCACACACATGAATAAGACTGCATGATGCTCAAGAGCTTATCACCACCGTCACCCCCCTGAAAATTCTACAGCTGAAAATGCTTTGTACTAGACTAAGAGCTATGCATACTCAGAAGTCACAGGTAGAAGCACAGGGTAGCAACTTATTTAAAATACAAACAAATATTTATTTGCATTTCCCATGCAGATCCTACAGTCTCTTAAGACTTGGGGCTTGAAGAAACACAGCAATGTTTTTAACCTTTGATTTATATCACAAGAGTTTTGTTGCAGGTTACAATAATGCCATTGCTAATCAAGGCTTCCTAAGCCAATTAATTCATAAAACAGCATCTTACTCTAATGCGAGTTTAGAATACACCAGAAATGCAGGATGAGATCCTGCCTTCAAAGACTCCTTATTGCACCTCATTCCTGTAACAGAGCTGGGTTTATGGAAATTAAGCAGGTCACTCATTTGGTCAAAGGGGATGAAGATACTTAGCATCTAAAATTAGATATTTTTTTTTTTTTCTAGAAGACAATCAGTTCTGCTTAGCTTAGCAGCTAAGACCTTGCAAAAAAACACAAAAACACCCCATTGTCAGCTGTGACATGCTTACTCTTCACACTAAAACAAAAGCAAGAAAAGAGACTTCAAGAGCATCACTATATTAATGGCCCTCAAAACTGCATGATGCTATAGATTACATGCATTCTACATCTTTGTTGAAGTAAGAGATTTATTTTATTCATTCACTTGTTTTGTGTCCTCTCCTCGTGGCTAAGTGATTGTATAATTACACTGAAATAACAGAAGTGGCATCTTTAAACAGTAGCTCAACAGCCTCAGTATCACGGTCTGCATCTCAAGAAGTGCTTGCAATTTAGTTTTCTCCCTAAAAGCACTTGACACACTAGCATAGTCCTGTAATTTTACTCTCTCTCCACAGGGTCAATACGAAAACATTGTGTATTTTTTTCTAAGACTCAAGCCTTAAGAAAGCAGTCTCCCTCTGTAAACACAAAAATATCTCAGCTGCCATGCAGATTGCCATTTTAGGGTGATTACATTACCCCATAACAACACTAATAAAATGTAAGAGTACTACTCTTTTTGCTCCTCCTTCTACTGTATCTGAAATGCTTGTATTTATCCAGGCAAATATTAACTACTTGGTTACAGTGCTATTTCGACACTGTGGTAATTCTTTTCTACATGAGGTTCAGTTTACAACCTATGGCACTTTAAATATAATGTATGTGTCACTAAGCTGTTACAGCAACGTGAGTTTGGCACGTTTCTGATGAGCATGAGGATGGAAAGTGGAGACTTCAGAGGAGTAAGTCAGTCACAGTGGCTGATATCCACCACTAATCTGCTACCTATGCACATCACATGCAGTTAGTATAAAATGATAACTTACATGCAAACCAGAAAGAGATTTTGTCTTCATTATTTATGCATCAAGAAATTTCCCTCCAAAGAGGAAATACAGTTGCAAGACACACAATGGTTAAAAGAGATGTGACTCAGAAATTAACACCGCACAGCTCGCAGTGATAGTGAGACCAGATACTGCTTCTCTAATCTCTAAAACAATTATGCTTCAGTATAAAACTTCTTACATATTGTGAATTTCAACAGGAACAAGCTACATACTTTTACTTACTAACTATTCATATTCAAGGAAGCAAAATAGTGCCTGGTCACAGTTGGAAATACATTAATGCATATCCTTTTATTGTATATCAAGCAGAAGTCAGAAATGTGCTTTTTTTCTTTCCCCCCTCAGATCATTTTCTCACATATACGTTGACCAAAAAATCAGTTTGGTGTATTTCTCCTTTCTGATGGCTAACACAAGATTTGTAGGAAATATATGTACTCAAATTTGCTTCAGTTTCTGCAGTTCATAGTGCAATTACCTCTACGGGTGTCTTCCAGTGGTTTCTTCAGGATTCTTCAGATAGCAACAGTGGTTTTTGGAACTTGCTTTGTATCCAAACTCGCTGCATTTTCACTTTTTTCTTCCTATTTACTTGTAATCGCCGATCAACTAAATTCTGTACTTCAGTTAACCCAGCCAAGTTGAACATGTTCCATACTTCATCTATTTTCTCATAGGAAGAATTATTTTAATTGATAAAAAAGAAAGACATTTATAGACTGTAGTAATTAACAACCTGCAGTTCAGCCAAAAATTAAACTAAATCTGGTTTGTGATCTGAAAGCTCAAGGAAACTGCCTGTAGGAAGTTTTTTTTGTTAGAAATTCATTTTTGCAGCTCTCGATTTATATTACTATAAAAAATGTTATGTTGAGGCCCAAACCACACTGGTTATTACAGATTCACAGATCCCCTTTCTTCAGCAGATTTGATATGCCAGGGCTGAGGAAAACAAATGCATGTCATTTGGTCACTGTTCATGTATTATCAAGACAAAGCTATTTCATCTGCCAAATGACAATCCACACATCTATGCCAATGTCATTACCTCCTCCATGTAAATCAGCATTGGAAAACTTCAAGCTTCTTTATCATGAGTAAGCACAAACCAAGACATTTAAAAACCGAGAAGGCTCTCTGAATTCAAGTGATTTCCCATATATGTCCTAGATCCTCCTCACTTCTAAAATTACTCTGGCTGCGATAAATCCTGATCCATCTCTATTGCTTTCAGTCTAAGTTGCAGAGGGTAACAAGAAAAAAGGAAGAAAAAAACCAAACTATTGTGATGCTCATTTTCAAAATTTCCAGTAGCTAGGCTAAAACATACCAGTCTAAACTGACTCCCAGCAGAACCAAGTCAGTGGGCAGGCAAAGAGCAATCGCATCCATAATCAGGAATTTAAGTTTAGCTTCCACGAAAAGAGCAACCTCACAGCTCATATTCACCAACATAGCAGAACAAAATAACACAGCACTACAAACTTCCGAGCATATTTATCTCAATTTTAAGAAAGAAATCAAGTACATCTTTAACTACCAGAATTTGAGCACACCATCAGGAACAAGATGCTTAGACAAACAGAAATTTTCAGTGATTTCTGCAAGCAATCTTGCAGGACCCCAGAGACAACAAGGGTACACGTAAAGGGAATTACTTTCCTGCGACAGTTAGCTTTGGGCTTTGTAAAAGCAGAGAATTAAGAAAAAAAGCCAGTAAAACCTTCCTTAAACTTCTGTTCTAAGGTAAGCTTTTATAAATCAAATAATCTTGAGACACTCAAACCGTTCTATAAAATTACATAATTTCATACCTTTGGTAAAGAAATACACCCTCGTTCCATCTCCTCGTACATAAAAATTTTCTGACAAGCAACGACCTAAGAAATTAGAGCAGTAATAAAAAAGGACAGGTCACTTTTTTTTTTCCAAAATAATTAAAATGAACAGTGAACTACAAAAACATTCAGGAATTACCTTTTTTAAAACGAAGTTGAGCTGTATCGTATCTTCCATAGTCTCGAAATAACAACATTCCTCCAGGTTTCAGTAGTTTAGCCAACCTATTTACAACCCCTTGCATCCTTAGAAAATAGATGACATACTGGTGAAATCTGCAAATACAACTGCTTTTTTCTAAATGCTTGGAACATACACAGATTTCCAAAACTACACTGAGAAGATGTGCCTATTTTACTACAAAAACACCAAGCACTAGTGAACTCTTTACAAACAAGCCTCTAAAGCAAAAATTTAAAAGGAACTGTAGGAGAACACAAACTGGAACAGAAAAGGAGCCCCTTTCCTTCACTTCAACAGATTAAAAGACAGTTTTTGAGTATATGGGTCAGGCATATACATGACCAACAGTGAATGAACTGTGTGCACTGGTGAGCTAGGCTGAGCCTTCTTGCTGTACACAGCAAAATCAAGGGCCTTTATGGAAGTATTGATCACACACACAAGAGCAGTATCTCCATGCCTAATGACTGAGGATGGAAAGAAGAATCTGAGTAGTACCTCAGGAGAGGAATCTGGCAGAACTGGAGATACTGCTAGTTAGAGAAGGAAAACCTGCACCCTCCAAAACGCTGACAAGTTTGTGAATCTTGGTAGTATCTAACATCAGCTCTTCCTTATCAAGATTAGGCGAGCCTGATGTATGCATAATAGGAATAAGCACCACATGCAGTACTCTTTCCTCTTCACTGGACCAGAGCATCTTCATTCTCACTTTTTAACCTTACCTTCGAGCTTATAAATATATTTGCATTACTCCGCAAAATACTAATAACTTCAGAACAAACTGAAGGACTCAAGTTTTCCACATTCATGAAAGACCACAAAAGGCAGTCTGCACCTGACAAGCTGCAAGGTAGAAAAGTCCGCTTGCCTAATCCAACCCTTCCTCCCACGGGGAAGCGGACAGATCGTGTGGAAGATATGGAGCCAGAGTTAATGCTAAATGAATGGAAAGGAAAGGCAGGGTGCTGTATCTGAAAAGAGCTAAAGAAGAGTAAGTCCTACTTTGCTCTACAAAATCAGCATACCCTTACTGTCATCCTTACAGCATCCCTGTCTCCCAGGTGGCCTTATCCCCGTGGCCCAAGAACGTCAGAACTCAAGCACTAATGCAATTTGGTCCTTACACAACAGCATTGCAGGAATCTTACTTTGATTTTTAAGGGACAGAAACAGGAGGTAGTCCAGCAGAAAATAATATCCTATCTTTAAACAAACAAACAAGAACAAAAAGCAGCATCCACTTTTTAAGCATGGAATTCCCTTAGAGGAAGCCAAGTGCTTTAGGAGTCATTCTCTCTGCTCGTGCTCCACACAGGCAACCACGTGTGCTGCCACAGACAGAATAGGCAGCACAGCCTAAGAATAAGAGACTGTTTAAGACAGGTAGTTGTGAACAGGATTACAAACTTTCCCTAGATAAACACAAGTTTTGTGCACATACTAAAAAATGTACATGCACAAAAAGTGAAAGTGCTTTGAGAAATCTCATCCTGTAGGACCAGAGCACATGAATTATAAACTTCAAAGAAGGTTTAATGCCTTTCAAACACTGCAACTAACTTTTAGAGGGGACTTCTAGGAGAATTGTAGTGTATTAAAATGGGGTATAGGAGTAGGAATTACCAAAACCTAAACGTGATAGCTTGAAGAGAAAACACTGAGTAACAATTGTGCTGAATACAAATGTGTCCCTCTCTTGTATAACTTCCAGGTCTCCAAAGAACCTAAGCTCTGCATCACCATTCTCTGGGTTTTCTTTTTCATTTTCCACTTTCAAAGTTTCCAGAAAAAAACGTATTCCAAGCAAGATGGATCTGGATTATAATTGCCTTTATGCACTCATTTTAATTCTATGAGATAACACTAGTGACAAACAAATCTTTGGAAAGTCGGTCTTACAATACAGATAATTACATGGAAATCTCTATGTGTCTATACACATACACAAACACAAGAGCATCCATGTCAGCCTTTAGATAATGACATGGGGAGGGAAAAAATCTCTCCCCGCAAAAGACATTCTGAAATGACTAATAGGAAAAGATCCACAGAAATTCTGACAGAACATCTGAATATCTGATTAGTGCTTCTATAGGCAAAGCAATTGAATGAATGCGTCTCAATTGTCCGATTTCTCCCTGGCAGCATCACCACAGTTACAGAGATCTGAAGTCTACTGCTTGAATTGTTTTTGAAATCTGGACCCAGGTTTTCAATGACTCATGCGCTCATCTCTGAGCAAACAGGAAGGAGCAATATCCTATATGAGAAAGATTTTTCTGTAAAGCTAATCATTAATAACTCAGGCAGGGAAAAACTTCTCGGACTTAGGCAAATACTGTTCTGTTTGCCAAGTCCTTTTTAACAACATCCTTAAAGTAATAAATGTATTACCACACATACAGCATGTATTTCCCTTCATATGATCTAGTTAAAGGAAGAATCAAGTTGTTTAATTTACATGCCCTCTTTTGCAATTTTCTCTTTTAAAAAGGGCATTTTCACAACGAGACAGCCTAACAGCCATAAAGTTTGGTTCATTAGACACTGAGAGACGCTAGTAACAAGGTTAACAGCACTCAACACTATGCATGAAAATTAGATCAAGTTTTCTTAATCCAAACAAGTTACAATATTCTGAATGCATTTTCTTTCAAAAGGCCTGCGTGGAAGCATTTGCAGGTGGCTAAATCAGCAAACTAAGTCTTTACCAACATGCTGTAAAGTGCTAAACCATACATGTTTGCGTTTGATAATTAAAAATAATGTTCTTCTAGAAGACCAGTGGTCTGCTTTTTTAATTTGCAATTTTCTTGAGTCGTTGTCACTTTTAAACTACGGGTGTATTTAGTTACACTATACCCATTGTATTTTGATGGGAGACAGGAGGCTCATTAATGAATTAACCTACAATGGGAAAAAGCATTTAAAATACCTTGTTTGATATATATCACTAAATAATAAATTAAAGATTCATCATCGTATTTTGCTATTCTTGAAAACCTCCAGTGATAAGAGAGATTCAACCCGTTTGCTTTGCCCTTTAGTCTTCATTTACCTGTCAGGATGAATAGCAGAGAGCACAAAGACAAGGAGAATGACATCCAGGATCTCATCTGGAAAAGGATAGGGTAAAGCATCATCACACACATCATGAACAAAGGCAGAACACCAGGCTGAATTGTAGGACGAATGTGACTGTCAGGAAAAAGATGAAAAGAAGCACAGAGAGAACAGTAGTAGTTAATACGTTTACTGTGACTCAAGAAACTTTTTTTCTTCAATTATTCAGCATTGTAAAACATCTCATATAAAAGCCTATTCTGTTGGTATCTTACTCAAGCTGAGAAGCAAGCGCACTGATGGTATTCATTCCTCTCTGCATAGAGTAAGACTTTGTTCTTTGGAATATTGAAAACTTCAGTTAAAAGTTGTCAAAGCCATCATATTCTTTTTCATGAAGATGGCTTCCTGGCAGCCTCCTGAATTACAGGCTTATGAGGTACTCTAAAGCGAGCACATGAATTACCTTTACCAGCTCCACCGCTCCTGAAGCAAAATCACAACAGTACAGAAAGGTTCCAGGTGTATTGCTAGGAAAACAAAACCAACATGAGTTAAAAAATTATTATTGTAAAAGATGAAACTCTACATCAGTGTTCATGGAACTACAGAGGGCCCTTTGGGGTTCTCCACAGGTTGGATCAAGCATGCCTTATTGATGTCTAGCACATGGAAAGCCACAGAGGTTGTAATGAACCAACAGGGCAGACAAATTCATAAGAATACCAACAGGCAGGCAGTATAAAAAGGAGAATTACAGCCTTGTCAGGGAGGAAGGGAAAAGGAAAAGAAATAAGGTCACAGAGGGCTATCAGGATTGATGACAATGTCCTAGTGTTGGATTACATAAATGGACTTGAATAGGTGACATTTTCTTACAGAAGCACTGCAGTAAGTCTCTGTCATTAGCCCATCTATGCAGTTTAATTAGCAATATGATTTGGGCAGGAGTGGGGTGTTGCAAAAGTCACCCACAGTTCTGTAGAGGTTTGGGTTCCCATGTGCCATCTTACTGCACTTTTGATTAGACTGAGTGGTATTGGTTTTTTCCTTCCATTATCCCCTTTGTTTTGTAAGCCAAGATGAGTAAGAATTTTCTGTAGCAGTGTTTTTCCTTCCTTCCCCATCCAAGAACAAGCCCGTTGCAAACTTTCTCTTACCATTCATCAGATGCTAGTAATTCTACAGAGAAATTTTTTTTACCTCCAAAAAATTCTTTTAAGAGAAACTGAACAAGCCCCTCAAAACCTACTGAGGGATGACTTCAGTGTCAACTTGCAATCAATTAATCTCTCTTAAAACACATGTGAGGCTTTGAACAGACAGTTTCTTTAGAAAGGGAATCAAACTGTGGCCTGTAAGATCTCACAGTATACACAACTGAGTTAGTGACCTCTCTCTGAGGACTCAACAGGAGAATCCTTGTGGACAAAAATATATTCCATCCCTGTTGCTGAGCAAAAATTTTATCAGCTCTGTGTCCACTATGAGAGTTGGTGAGTTTAGATATTTATCATGGATGAGGATAAGCAGCCAGGCCTTGGACCCAGGCAGTTCCTTGGGAGAGGTTAAGCTGATTACCTAACTTGTTATGATGTCATCTCAATTTCTTTTTTAAAGCAAAATAGGAGCTATGTACAAAGTCAACTTAAAACAAAGATGCAGTTTGATCTGGGTGGTGATTTCATGATGCACTGTATTAAAAAGCAGTAACTTAGATTTTAAGGGGGGCAAAGGGAAGCAGTTTAAAAGTTACATTACAAACCTAAGTGGAAAATAATTTTGTAGCCAGGGTATACTCACACTTGACACTGGCTGCTTCTTATATGCATACAAAAGTCAATTTTTATATTAATAAATTCAGAGTAAACCCAACTGTGCTATAAATCAAGCCTGCTAAGAGATAAGAGATGTTTCCATCAGCTCATAGACAACACAAATGTGTGAGTTGTTCAATGTACCAATCAATGTGATTGACTGAAAGATGTGCGTAAGAACAGAAATTTCCAGGAAAAACATCTAATGAGTGGATTCTTAATTATCAGAAATGCCAACCTATGACTAATGCCTCCTGTGAGGAAAACACAAAAGATGGTCTCATCTTTTTTAATACAGCCACATGGTATCTTTTCCCTATATAGTGTTACTTTTCAAACTTTTCACATGAAATGGGGCTCCCTGTTCATTATATATATGCAGTTTAAAGCAAAGCATTTGTTTAGGGATGACAACGCATTGCTAACACTAACAGGTTTCATGTATGACCCTGATACATCACTCAATTCCTCTTGCTTTCTGTTTTCATATCTGCAAAATGGAGGATATTTGTATCGGGGTGATGCCAGTAATCAGAATTCATTATAGAATAATGAACTGTGCTGTACTCAAGCTCTTGGAGGCACAAGTAAAAAATACACACACGGCTTTTCCAATAAAACCTTCCTGCCTAGAGGGAAGGGAGGACATGCTGTTGTAACAGCTTTTTCTAAAACCGGAAACTAAGTGGATTAAGATGCTTCAGGGAATTAAGTAATGCAATACAAGACTTATGTTTTCCTTGACACTAAAACCTGAAGCAATATGACAGTGCACCAGCCAAATTCGGAAATAATACAACTTCTTACTAGTAGGTCACGTGCCATTATCTGTTGTCTCTGACTTTGCTTTGGAAGAGGTATCTGGTAGCTTTATGATGACAAGAGAATACTTCACCTACCTGAGATTAACTACAAGAAATCAGGTGCCTGAATGTACCTGACAACAAACCTTCTCAGCAAATATGGTCTCCCCAAGGCCAGGGTTAGCTAGTATGAAGAGTCTTTGTGTACTAATGTTATCTGTACATTATCTGTGGTCTACAAGAAGTCAGAATTTCAGGGCTGTAAAAGAGTCCATTCAGCACTTCTTGCAGCATTGGTCTAGCATCAACATTTGAAGAAAATTAAGACGATGAGAACAGAACTGTCAGACCTGAAAATCCAGCACTACGTACCACAGAACTTTCAAAATAGGAAAGACACTGTTTCCAGCACCACAACCAACCTAAAATCAGAAGAGAGACAAAATGTTAAAATAAATGAGCAAATAAAATCTCACTGTTTGGGGTTTTTTTTGTCTTAAATTAGTTGATAGGTAAGACCCATGAGACTTGAAGGGACATTGGACAGAAGCAGTATAAACAGCTCACACCACAATTCTCCAGTCCCTTCTATGATCATGTTTCTCTCCAATGCCTTTCTAAAGTTAAGAGAGAATCCACCTCTCAAACCGCATCGGAAAATGCAACATTCTCATCCAATTTCACCATTTGGCAAGAATGCCAAGTGTACTTAAAGTACTTGCACTTTAAGACAGAGCACTTTAAGACAGAACTTAGGAAACAGAAACTCAGCTATCAGTGAAAATAGAAACTGATAATCTAGCCATAAATTCTGATTCGGGAGAAACTTTAATGCAAAAACAAGTTTCTGCCATAAATTAATGTTGTACATCTAATTCTAAATGTTTACTTTCTTCATATTTACTAAGAATCTTTACCAGGCTTTTGAGCAATTAAGAGGAGTTGTATATGATAGGCAGAATACATGCAGTGCATTACCTCTAATATTCTGTAAGTGGCATCACTGCCAGGGAAGGATTCTAGCCTGCCAAATTCTTCTCCACAGTTTTTGCCCTGAGGATTGTCAGTAAGAGATTTTGCTTGGGTTTTACATATGTATCCCTGTACAGATGTAGAACCACCTCCATAACTTTTCTTCCAATATTTTTCTCCTTCCTCAAACATTTCATTTTCTTGGGAAAAACAGTTGGTACTATTTATTTTTGTGTGTTTGAAAGATCTTTCTTCTGTTTTCAACTCTTCTCTCCTTTTTTCTGGAAGAATTTCTGGGAACTCCAGAAACAGCCAATTGCGATCCTTGAAAAAGTTATTTTTATGAGTCTTGTAAAATTCATTCCAATATTTACTGGCTTCTCTCTCATATTTATCTGAAATTAAAGCAAAACAAAAACTTAGTGAAAATGAGCTTAGCTACAAAATACTGTAAAGCAACATGGAGCTTGGACCCCAAATTTACAGTTTAAAAGTACATAGTTTCCCACATAGTACACATTTAAATAAAACCATATGGATATTGGATCTTACCTTAATCTGTGCTCAGAATAACTCCCATGAGGGTTTAATCACATTTTATGTCACTTAGGATGGAGCAGACAGGCTTTCTGCATAATTTTTTTTGAAATGCAGTGACATAATAAAGCAGTACCACCAAAATATGCAATCATAAGTTTTTTAGACAAGCTTTCATATCTTAAAATATAAAAGCAATGCATTTTCATCTTTTCGACTGACCGTTCTCCATGCTTCTCCTATTCAAGAAACACTAAAGTGAAACTAATTTCATGCTTTATGAAACTATGAACAATTATAAATTTGTTAGTAGCTAGTCATTTAAAAATCCCCACAACAATCGAACCATCAGAAATCCAATTTTGGATTCCAGAACTGTAGTGATAAATGCTACTGCATAGCCAATAGAGAGTAATCCACTCTTAAACATTTAACAATGCAGTTTTGACAGAAAATAACAATACAGTCAGAAGCAACGTATTGTTTTTCTTACTTTCAAAACACTTCAGAGGGTCTTACAATGGACCTTTGTGTTCATTTTTAATTCATAAAACAGTCTCACTGAATGTTAGAATGTCAAAGAATAGGACTGGAAGAGATTTTAATCAGTCAGGGAATTCATACTCCTTCTCCTAAGAAATTTCACTGAATCACAGAATGTTGGGGGTTGGAAGGGACCTGAAAAGATCATCTGGTCCAACCCCCTTGCCAGAGCAGGATCACCCACAGCAGGTCACACAGGAACGTGTCCAGGTTGGTTTTGAATGTCTCCAAACAAGAAGACTCCACAACCTCCCTGGGCAGCTTGTTCCAGTGCTGTCACCCTCACAGTGAAAAAGTTTTTCCTAATATTTTTGTGGAACCTCCTATGTTCCAGCTTGTACCCATTGCCTCTTTGTCCAATTTGTTCTTAAAATACTACCTTTCATTTAGGTCAGATGGCTTTCTTCAGTAACATATTACAGTTCTTCACCGTCTACATATTTAGAAATCTTTTCCACTAACTAACCTGAAATGTCATTATTGCAATTTAAGCCCAGTAATTCTTGTTCCATTAACCAAGCAGATAAAGCAAAGATTACTCAGTTCTCTTTGCAGCACCTGTTTACTTATTTGAAGTCTTTTACTATGCCTCCCATAAACAATCTCTCTTCTTGATAGTCTAAATCTATCTCTTCTTTTTTTTCACTGAGGTCATGATTTTTAGACTTCTGATAATTTTTATTTGTCTTTTCTAGATTCTCTCCAACTAATTTACTACTTTTGGGTGCTGTACTCTGGTAAAGGCATTATCAAGGCAGAGTAAAAGGAATATTTTATGAGGCTTACAGGCTGCAATCCTGTTTATAACTCCCAGCTTGCCATTTTGCAACAGCATGACACTGCTGATTCAGCTAGTGATTCACCACAGCCTTCAGATCTGCAAAATGACTACCTAGCCAATTGTTCCAGGACCTAGTATTTTTTCAAGGAATTATTCCTAGGCAAATTATTCTGCATTTATTTTTAGCAAATCTATATATTTCAGATCCTTTTCTTCCACAATTTGTCCAGATCTTTCTGATTCCTAACACCGTCCTTCACCATACTTGAAACATCTCTTCATTTCAAATGATCTTCAAGTCTCCTGTTTCCTAAGGTCACTAAGGAAAATAGCAAGCAGAACCAGACACGAAACAAGATGTTTCTGCGTCCAGCACAGCCTTTCATTCTGAAAGGACCTCTCTAGGCACTCACTCACCCAAAAGCAGTTTCATTAGCTCTCGCTTGCCTAACTTGCTTGTGAAAATGTCAAGTAAAGCAAGTCAGAAGCCTGACTAAGGATAAATTTCAGCATGTCTGTTGTTTTTTTTCCTTATCCTTAGGGCTTGTAACTTTCTCCAAGAAGAAAATTAGCTTGATTTTACATGATTTATTCGTGAAAAATATTTCTTGGCTAGTATTCATCTCATTTGTTCTTCCAAAACCAGTGTCTGCAAGCTCTGGATTATCTCTTCCAGTATTTTTCCAGGAATTGAAACTAATTTTCTGATTCTTCTCTTTTCCCAACTCCCTTTTTAGAAAAACTAAATACTCTCTTTTCTGTTCTTCCAGTCATCCACATATTCTACAGACATACTTTGCAACCTGTTCCTTCTCAGTACAAGAACAAGATCTTTCCTCCTTCTCACTAACACTAATTGTGCTAGCCACTGGACTGCAGCTAACCCTTTCAAAGGAAGGCTGATGAAAAGATAAGAAATACAGCTTTTCAATGTTCTTTTGTTGATGGCTTTCCCTTCCTTGTCTCTCCTAAGTACCAAACCAAATCTTTTTGGTTTTTCCACTCATTCCCAAAGCATTTACAGAACCGTTTCTTGTTACTCCTGATGTCTATTGCTAAGGGTACAGCATATAATGTGTTGCCTTTTTTATTTTGTCCCTACTCACACTGACCCATTAATTCTTTTAATAAAAATGCACTAAGTAAATATACAGTGCATTTCTCCAACTCCTCTCATTTAAATCTTAACATACCATGTCCAAAATTGCTACAGCTTTTCAGAGATAAACAAGGCTGAGAATTATCATTAGAGGCACAGACAAGCAGTGGGAAGTGGCAAGGAGGAGGCAGAATGTCTTGTCCTAGAAATCTGCATATTTTTTTTTAAGTTAACATTTAATACATCCAATTATATTATTAAAGGGCAAGACCCAGTCATGTAGAGTAATTGTACAGACTTGTTTCATAACATAAGTGCAGAGCTAGTTGTGGTCATATATACCATATATACCATATATATTTCACTAGTGTGAGTTGCAGTCATAGATAGCTCAGTATAAAAACAAACCTTCTACTCAAAAGGTTCTTAAATCATTATCACCCCTTGTTGTAGTCACTGCTCTTCTACAAGAATGCTCAGAACCCTTGTACTTAAAACTCCCACCAAGTTTTCCAGATTTCAGAACTAAAGGAAAGCAATGGCTAAAGTCAGCTTTTCGGATTGTATTGGTATTACATCAGTTCAAGTGAAAGAACACTTCACTTGCCATTCTTCCACTCCTGCACCACCATGGAATAACCACATATGCACTAAACTTTCCAAAGCATGTAAAAATAGCAAAATTAATAACTAATTAAAAAATAGCAAAATCTTTTGAGACAAAAACAAAAATCCCTTAGTCAACTGGTTTTTTCTCTTTAATATAACCTGTCACACACTACCAGGCATGCCTGAGAAGAAAGTGGACATGCTAAAAAGTAAATAAAATTCCTAAATGTAATATCATGAGTTCATTCAGTTTAACTTCTCTTAATTTAACAAGGTTCACCAGAAGTATTATGTTTTAGTGATATAATATTATTGTTGAAATCTGACTTGTCTTTTTCCCCTTACTGTAGTTTCTGAGGCTCCAAAATAATAACCTGCTCGTTAGCTTCAGCCTAGTTCACTCTTTAAACAAACAGCCAAAGTGTACTTCCACTTGCAGAACAAAGCTGAAGCTTGCTGAAGGAACACTATCAGCAATGCTCACCTGTTCAAGTTCTAACAGAGGGGCATTCATACAAAATGTCCTTGGATTCTTGTATTTCTTGGCAATAGACAAATGCCTGATTATTCCGTTTCTCACTAGCACAGACTAAGTTCTAATTGATTGTGGATGAAGAATGAAAGGTTCCACAAGCCACATGGTTACACAGCTTACTTTTCAATTATGAGCTCTTTTTCAACTTTTTATACAACCCAATGAAAATATCAGATGCAATTTACTTTTAAAAGCAAACACTGGACTCCTGCATCCAGATAAAGAATGCAAGAAGTAACAGAAAATGGACGGATGACAATCCCAGAGCATTCAGAATGCCAAAGGGCACACAATCCAAGACACGTTCACAGCTAATTCGAATAAACTTCAATATGTGCCCTAGTTACATTGACGAAACAGAGTACAGGATCATAATGTTGCTGTCTTATTTGACAAGTTCAAGATAGGTTAAATAAACTGAGGACCAGGACATCCAAGTAACTGTTTTCAGAATATCCTTCCAGTAAAGGAACAAATTAAGAACCCAGTATTCTACATACAACCAAACTGATACCAAGCTTTAGTATAATTTTTTAATCCTACAGTTCAGCCTAGCATTTAGTTTGCCAGTTGGAACGTAGAGCTATCATTCTTCAGAAATGCAGAATACATTAAGTTTCCTCTCTGAAGACACGCATGGAATTCCTTAATCATTTACAGAGCAGACTGCATGATGTATTGGAACCCTTCCACACAAAGTGAACACGCTGCGTCCTGAAGCACTCCCAGCTCGGTCTGGCCAGGGCAGCGAGCTGGGACCAGCTGGGACCAGTGCGACTTTCATGGCACTTAACTGAAATATGGTGCAATGTACAAACACCAGCTCTCTGAACAGCCCACAAATCACTAAAAAGCACTTGCACATGGGAACTTTCACCCACAGCACTCTAGCTGCCTGCGGCAGAAACTTTATTCTAAAGGGCTGCAAAAGGAGCCAGAACTTGCAAGTGCACCATGCTGATGTACTTGTTTTACATAGTGCCTATTCCCCCCTCCCTTCCAAATGCAAAATTGCTCAAGTAACTGGATTGCTAGGAAAACACATTTTGGGACAATCTTTTGAAGCAAAAGAGGGGGGAAAAAAACCCAAACCAACAAATTTACACAAGAATATAGAAATAAAAAGAGTGTTCCTGGATTTTAAAGCATCTTTAAATGGTTTAATTAATAGCATTAAAATAGAAATTTTTAGGCCATTATGAATTTGTTACCTTGGTCTTCCCATTGGACTTTCACGAGTGAGTTCTCTGCTGCTTTTTTCTTGGCTTTCTCCTCTTCCTCTTGTGACCACTGCATGTGGTCCCTGCAAAAGGCAGTTGAAGAACCAGCCTTTAAATAGGGTTTTGCATAATCTTTTTTTCTCAGGGAAAAAGAGCCACAAATTAGCTACACTGTCTAAAACACATTTTCTTTTTGAATGCAAGCAAATGAATGCAAGGACACTGACAGTTAAAAACTAAGTTTCAGTGTATGATAGAGAAAAATTAATTACTAGTTATGTAAAATTTAAGTGATTAAGAAAAATCTTCCAAGAGCATTTTTTTTCTTAATAATAGGGTTAACACATACCTTATAAATTGAGTGTGTTTATAGGAACGTATTTTGAGTATCTCATTAGAATTGTGTTTAGCTGAATATAGTAATAGACCTAGCAACAAACACCCTGATGTAAGAAACTTCTTATATTACAAATGTTTATGACAAAGAACAAGGGTCATTTAGCAATGGAATCAGCTGTTCCTGAAACAGGGGGCAAAATCCACCTATTCAAGTGGAATGGTAGAATTGATGAACAGGATTTTACTTAATTGGGGAACAGAGATAGCAAACATTTAGAAAAAAGAATGAGGCATTCCTAAGAAAAGACAACCAGTGCTGCAATTGTTCCAGAGTCTATCTGCATTTGTGTGAAGTGGTTAACTAAATGTTATATTTATTCATTAAATGGTCACAGAACCAAGCCAAGATCTGACCCTGATAACTAAAGTGCCTTCCCAGCAGATTGTCTGGGGGGAGTGCCCAAAAACATGCTGCTAGCAGCTTTTAAAGCAAGTCAGCTATCTCTCCAAACCATACAGTCTGAACAGTTTTAGAAATCAGAATAAATCAGTTAATATAATTCAAGTAATCTTTTAGATCCTAATCCTACTGAGATCAATTAACTGAAAGCCTGTAACTAAAATTCCATTGGTTACTATGGGAAAAGGAACAAGGTGTCAACCTGAAGAGAGCTGATTTCTAAAAGCTAACAAGCATCTTCCTGTTCTATGCTCGGTGACATATAGGTAATTTAATTCTTAGACCTTCACTGTTCCTCTTTTTTGTTAATTGTGGGAGTCTAATTGGTACATATTTGTCTGCTTGCCTCAGACTAGATTTCCGCATCTCTACTGAAATATTTCTCATTATTGTCCCCAGCAGGTTGTCTCTCCCCTTCCTTTCGTATACCAAATGTCCCTGTGCAGTGTCAAGGCTCTGACAGGCGTTAGTAGACTAAAACTGAATGACTGAAGCATTACTAGGCAGCCATTCTCTTGGAACGACTTGCTTCCCTCGCTGCTCTCGCCGTTTTCAACCTTGCCTATTCTAGCAAGCTGAAACCAAGGACTATGCAGATGGCAACGGCACCCGTCAGAAGGGCTGACTGTATGACTTGCTGTGGTATAAGCTTTAGCCCATCAATTCTGATCCATCATGGTGTGTCTGCCAGAGCTCTACACACAATACTGTAGGTGCCTGAAGTCCCTCATCTTTATCAACAACTTTTCTTCCTTTTGTCCCTCCTTGAAAACTCATAAAACTGAAGAAAGATCTCTTGGCTCTTTCCTGGAAATTTCTGCACAGAAGACCCCAAACAACAGCAGCACTTCTTGACCAAAATATGCAAAAGAGGCGACATAGCGTAGTTCTTAAGCAAACTATTTACATAGTTCAAATGAGGCAGCTCCTTCAGCAGTACAAGATGGCAGGAAGACAGGATACAGAATTGTAGGCACAGAGGTATTTAAACACAGAAACATTTTTAAGATTAACATTGACAGCAGCAAAGCAAGTATCCATTTTAACCACACACCAGGAATTGTTACCATGAGTAGGCCTGACATGAGACCAAGCAATGCTACTTCCAATTCAGCTTATCCAACTTATCCCTTTTCCATTAACTTTGCTAACATAGATTTTAATTATTTCTGAAAACTAACATATGAAAACCATGCCAATTACTGACCTGAATAGAAGCAGACATTTTTTGCTCCCATGTTTAGCATCGTTCATTAGTTCTCTCTCAAAATGACAGAAAAGCACCACAGTAAATATCTAAAGCATTAGTTCCCAAATTTAATTTGCTTAGTATTCCTAGCAGCAACGGTAGCAGCTCTTGACCCCTGCCAATTCACACACAGGCAAAAGAAGGATGCCGCTTCATGAAGTACCAAAGATGATAAGTGAAAATCAAAAGGAAATAAATCCCCATACATCAAAGCTAGGGAAGATGGATCTCTTAGCTCACCCTTCATCACCCCTTTAGCTCAACCACCACTCATCCTGATCCCCCTTGTTTCCCTTGTGAGGACTCTGCTGATCCAGCCAGCTTCAGGTTCAGGGACCTCCCCTCACTTCATAGCCAGGTTCTTGATTTATCAAGACCTTCGCAACTTCCATGCAGCCTCTCCTCCAACTTGGTTTCACTTGTTTTCCCATGTGAACTAAGACGCATCTGCAGATACAATCTCAGAACAACCCTGCTCCTCTCAATCCCATCTTCACGATCCATCCCACCTACATCACAGTTTGGTAACTCTCTATTAATCTGTCATCAAATGCTAGTAAGAAAAGCTGAAGCCACACATGATCAGTTATTTGGAAGGAGATTTAGAAATGAAACAAAACTGAGTTTCGAGATACAATGTTATGGATTAAGGGTAGCCTTCTTCTTAAAATCTTTTCCTACCTAGACCATAGAGCCTACATCTGAATTGAAACTCACATAGTGAAAGCATTTTTCCACCTAGTAGGAGGTCCTGAGTCTGGAAGATGCTTAAGAACTACATCACATACAGATTTGTGAAACACAGAGATAAACTTCACACTACATATATATAGATAAACATAGATAAACACAATAATGAGCCAGCTTCCCTGGCCAAGGAATTTATAGAGGTACAGCTAACTTCAGATTTGTCCTTAAGGTGGTATGTGTTGGGGACCATGGCTTGGGGACATCTAGTTCAGAAACAGGTGACAGATCTATTCGCACGTCTTACCTCATGAGTTAAGCCCTAAAAGAGTAATGAAGATATAAGTTTATTAACCAGAAGACAATCTTCTGTGTCATAATTCTTCTCTTAAGACCCTTTTATGAATCAGAATTTTATTAAAGAAATTTTTGAAATAATTCAGATTAAAAAGTCAAATGTACCAAAGGTTATTCTTTTTAGTAGTCTATTTTGCTTGCTAATTTTAAAAAATCCAGCAAGTTGGAAAATTCATTTCAGAACAAAAGCTTATTCAGTAACTTCTCTGACAGCTGCCTGCATGGGATACCTCTGAGGAAGATATAAGAACTGCAAATTACTTTTATGAAGTAAGCTTAAGCCTTGAAACTTGACATCTGTTACTCTTTTGGTTACTGTTAGCCACATCCAGCCACTTCTCTACTTTTGCTAAATCCTTGCTCTCGAAAGTGACATGTGATAGAATTCAAAAATATATTTTAAAATTATGTAAAAAAATATTTTCTTGGTGTAGCTTCTAAACTCCCCAAACTCTTTGCTACGCCATTCTTAAGTTATGAACTACAGGAATAAAAATTCATAGTCTTCCAAATATCTTGGGTAGATATTCTTCGACTTTCCAGATAGATTGAGATTTTCTTCAATCCTGCTAATGCTTCCTGTATCACTTACTCATTTTTGTATTCATCTCCATTCCATGGTCAAAAATCCCAGCCCTTTCAGCCTTAGTCTTCCCACTGTGTTGACTAGCATTCTCACATTCTGAGCCTCCATTAATCATAAAAATACCTTTTTTGAGATGGAAATGTACTGATGCAAATCAGGGCCATTCATGTTCTTGTTAACATTTACATGTTAATGTTTTCTCTGTTATTATATCACTTATTTAAGATTCAATTGACTTTTTGACAGCTGTGCACTGTATGCAAATCTCTGTTGAACTATCTGAAACACCTTCAGTATGCCTTTACATGAATACAAGTAATTTACATGTTCCTTTTGAATTGGTGTTGATTTTAGAATACAGTGCTAATCCAATATGCAACATTATTTTGCCTGAGTAGTAACTTTCTGCCATTATAATATGGACTAATCCTCTACGTTTTCTGTCTCCTAATTAGTTACTGATCAATAACAACATTTTGCCTTTAATCCCATGACTAACTACTTGCTCAGCAGCTTTTTATGTAAGTCACCAAAAACTCATAACTGTCAGGTTACTTGTGAGAGTCTCAAGTTCTCTCTAGTATCACCTTTCAACATCTGTTCTGGCAGTCCATTGCTATATATACACACACCCTCACATCAGTACTCATCATAATAAATAATATAGAAAAACATATTAAAATTAGCATTGAAGAAACATCTCACCACATGTTATGCTCAAAAACCTTAGAAGGATCAGTTAAAATTCGTGATCCAAGGGGAACAGCTGGTCGTCTACTACTTTGGTGTCTCCGATGTACCTTGCTTTTCTTCAGACAGAAAGCAGAAAGCCTTGTAATGAAATTCATTTTGTTCAGAGACCTGAAAACACAATTAACTCAAATTACAGTTTTGCTGTAACTTAATTATTTATGTCACTTACATGAGAAACTGGTCAAATAATCAAGTACCAGTATCAACTTCAGTAATAATCTTTTACTATAATATTAATTTAAACGCTTTTTAGAAAATAGCAACATGTCTTCAGCGTGCTGAAAGCCCAAATAATCACAAAGTAGGCTACTGGAATGAAACCAGCTGAGAGATAAATTATTTGGTATCATTTCAAATCCTATCAGGCAGGAGGAAAAAAAAAGAAGAAAGAAAGAAATACAGAGCAAGACAATAAACCAAGTGTTAGACTGTACCTTTAAGAAGACAAGCAAGAAACCATCAGCACAGAAACCATTTGTTCTAGCGGGCACCTACTGTCATTGAGATTGACATTTTTCACCCCACTCACTAGCTGATCGTCTTCCAAAGATTTCATTCTAAAACTGTGACTGCTTTTATGCTTTTAGATCGGAAATTAAAGATTTATATTTTTTTAAAGGTAAACATTATGCAGAAAGGAAACCTTCCAAAACTCCTGCCATAAATTCTCCTGATCCTCGTTCAATGTCCTCTTTGAAATGAATGGGTTTAAATGTTACATTTCTGTTCCTGTGAATTATAAAGCGTTTGAGATTCTTCTATTACATGTATAATTCTCTCTTATATTGCTGTATTTTACTTTACTTGGAATCTCTTTGTACAATATTAATAATAAAAGGTAACAAGTGTGTGTAGCTAGTACCAGCATTTTGTCTTGTTGGAGTTTTGTGGTTTTTTTCATATTCTTGTTAATGCAGGCTTTCTAGTAGAAGAGTAAAACAAACTACCTCTCCTCCTACTTTTACCTTGATGTGCTTTTGTTCTATTTTCCTTCAAGTGCTCTGCATATGATTTTTTAAATTATTCTTAGCCCTATTTTTTTTCCAGCATTTTTGAGTGCTTTTTCTGTATAAACCACACATACAAATTTAATGCACCGAAAATACAAAATGCTGTTAGAAAAGAACATGCACAGTTTAAAAACAGACATTTGTAGAAAACATTCTGCGCAAATTGATTACAAAATGAAGATTTTTATGTTGAGAAAAATAGTACTATTTCAACACAAGTCTTGTGCTGTGACTAAAAAAAAGATTAATTTGTACACATCAATACAAAGACTGGCAAAGGAATTGCTTCAATTAAATGAACAATTCGTCACTTAAGGTGTACTTTTGAATGAATCATGCTTTAAAAAGGGCACTGTTTATTATTTTAAGCCTGCAAAAAAAAGAGAGAAAAAAAGATTAAAAATTCTTTTTATTTGTCAAAGACTAAATAAAATGGGGTTTGTCTTTTGGCTGTCAATGTCAAACAAAAAACACTGATTACTTTTGCCTGATGGGTCTTCAATGTTACCAGAATATGAGCTATCATCATACAGTGATTTTTAATTAAAAAATTAAAACCTCTTCTAATGTTAACAAGTTTATTCTAGCTATTTTCTTTTAATGTGGCTCAACTAAAACAATTCCAGTTCGTACATTAATTACTACACACAGTTTGTGCTTTGTTTTTTAAAATTTGTACGCATTTTTCATAGCATAATTATTAACATATATGGAATATTAGGAAATAATAATTATAAGCGATTAGAATTAACACAACACGACAATTTCTGCAAGATATGTAATTTGCATAAAGACAATGTTCTTGAAAACAAAACCAAACAGGAAATCCCCCAGAACCCCAAAACACAATTGGATCGAAAATCGTTATTATTAAATTAACGAAAAGCCTGGATAAAGATTCCAGGATTATGCTGTAAACTGTTTACAAATCCTCTTCCTCCTTCAATCATTCAAAAAGACCTGAGACTGTATCTTCCATTTCCTGTGCCAGCATTTATATTCAACATAAAATACAATGATTCAGCTGCTAGGCTAGTCACATAATTTTTCTTGGCTTTCTAAATATCTCAATAAGAACATGAAAAGATACACAGATGCGAATTATGGTTGGATGACTAAGATGATCTTGCATCAGTAAAATCCAGAGATGCAGCTCTTTTTATAAGAATGTGATCCTTTGAGTGATAACTGCACAATTTTAGCTGATAAATGCTGAAACACCAAGAAAATGCAAGGAAAGTGGAGGAGGTGGGCGAGTTTACTGTTGCATCTAGTGTCAAATGTGAAGAAACTCCTTGGAGACACGCATTTATATCCCCAAGAGTTAGAGTAATCCATATATCGTGAGAAATCCATACATCGTGAGATTAATGGGCAATCTGGCTAAAAGTTAAAAACCCATCTAAATTACTTGGAAGCCTAAACTACATTTTCAGAACCAAATCACTGCTCACTTGTTTCTCCAATTGATTTTGTTAATGAAACAGGCAAATACCCTTTCTCTTCATCAGAGAAGATGATCGTACCCTGAAGCCATGACAGCAAGAAATGTTGTTGAAAGAATTATGAGTTATTCCCTTGTTCAGAGGTACGGTCAGGAAGTCTTTAACTTTGATTATTAATCAAAGCAACTCTACCTTTGTCTTTAAGGATATTATAATGAAAGTGAAATAGATCAAAAATGCCTATACTTTGTGGAAGCATAAATATTTCTCAGAACAAACTTCAAATAAACAACACACTCGAAAACCACACTCAAAAGCAACATGGAAGATTTTTCCCTGTGGAACACTGCCTTTTAGCCTTTAGAATTTTGTCATTGTTACAAGTACAGATCAGGTCCTTAGTTTAGCTGAAATACTTTAAGAAAATAGCCTTAAAACTCCTCCCCTCCTCAAATAATCTAACACAGTGCCTTCAGCACAGCTTTTTGAAGGTGGACATGCAGAAGAAGGTATACACATCAGCTGCCAGCTAGACCTGAAATAACACATTTCTAACTGAGGTTGGCATTAAAACCTCTGTGGAGTCACATCCACAGAGGAAAAGTTAGAGATACAGGAGAAAAGAACTGTTCTAATCTTCTTTTTTACATAGTGAATTACATATGTAAACCACTTCACTGATTAGTAAAATCACAGAATGGCCTAGGCTGGAAGGGACCTTAGGGATCATCTAGTCCAACCTCCCTGTCACGGGCAGGGACGCCTCTCAACTAGATCAGGCAACACATGGGGACCGAACAAGGATTGAACCCACGACCTTGGTGTTATCAGCACCACGCTCTAACCAACTGAGCTAACCGGCCCCCACTCCTTGAAACGTATCAGTTCTGAAACAGATATCCCAAGGGAGCTGGGAGGGAGAACCGAACACAAAAAGACCAGAATAGAAATAACCTGTCATTTTTGTCAAAGAACCCAGTTCAGTGAACTTATTGTATGAAAACATTTTGACATTTGACTGATCTCCAGCTGCAAAGCTAACAGCTCCTTCCATCTCCAATCACTAAGCCTACTTGTAGAGTCAGCGTTATAAAGAAAAAAAAAAAGCCTGTATTGGGAAGGGTATGTGCAGCTTATGCTACATTTAGAGACAGAAGAGTACCCTGGAAACAATGAACTTCATATAATTACTTCTCCTCCTTGGCACCTAGAAGCTTATCTGCACAACATTTGGCAATTAATCCCCAATGGTCTCCTGTAAAGTGGAGCTGATCTATTTTATTACCATCAAACACTACCAAAACTCAGAACACCTTATACAAAACAGAGAGACACAATCGTGGACACAAAGTGAAAAATTCTTCAAGATAATGGTAACACAGAAGGCTTAACTATGAACTACCAGTGGTTATTTTAAAAAAACATACGTATTACTATTCTTAATATTTCAGATGGGAGTAGGGGAAGAAGGGGACTTTACTGTCAGCCAGACTTGTTCATTAGGTGAGTGCTTAATGCTGTTCTACCAAGTGACTAAACAGGCCCTCTTGAGGCTTCATGATATACTTCAAAAAAATATGCACATTTAAAACAATAGGATATTTCACAACTTTTCAAATTCAGCAGTTCTGAAACTCTTGACTGGTTTTCCATTTTGTACATCATCACCAGCAACGATGCAGGCCTCCTTGTCAGCACGCAGCAATTTCAGTAAAACTACTGTGGAGCGCTGACTACCAAGAAGAAAAACAAAACAAAAAATTATTTTGATTTATTCCGACTCCTGTAGAGACAACACAGTTAACATTGGTTAAAAAGCAAGAGCAGATAAAAACAAACAAATCAACCCCACCAGATATGATTTTAACCACATGTACAGAAACATTGAATAAGAGGAGCCTGTTCTTACGCTATCTGCCAGGTAGCCTGTTAAAAAGTCAAACAGAGAGGAAATAGTTCCTACAATGCTAGAGCAAGGGAGAGAGGGAGATAAAACTGCTCATTTACTGAAAACATTTACTTGGATTACCATACATCCAGGATACCAGCACCAGAACTTGAAGGTATGTTATTTGGGATAAAATAATGTATGTATATACTATATAATCACTTCTAAAAGTAAGAAAGCGGACAAAGAGCTATTAGGGACAAGCAGAGAGCTAAAGTATTCGAGAGTTTAAAAAAATATGATTTACTTCCCTAATTTTGTATTCATTGAGAGTTGTTTCACAGCTACTATTCTCCATGTTGATACTCCTGTTGGAATTATTCTGCTATATAAAACACTTTTGAAATACCTTATAAAACTATAGGGGTTTTAATTGTATTTTTATTCCTTTTTTTTAAGAAGCAATCATACCATTTCTATAAAAAAAGAGGAAACATTCTTCGGTTGAGACTATAAACTGCATATTGATCTTGGAAGACAGCGGAAGCAAACCAAGTTTTCTCCACAGTACTGAGGGAATCAACTACACTAGTTTTTAAGCTAATAAAGACAGTTTGAAAAAATGCAACTGAAGATTAAATAATGGCAATTGCAAGATCGAAGAGACATGAATGGCCAACAAGGAAGAAAGAAACAGGTACATTAGAAATATAGATGCATTTTATTTACTGAATCTTTAATCAGTTAATGTGAACATGAAA